GAAGAGGTCTCAGGGAAGGGATGCAAAACACGTTCAAATGTTCATACTTGTGTTCCCCAAGGCTCACTAAACGCGGCAGTACTGAGTACCAGTACTAGGCGATACTCAGGCAGGTTGAGTGTGATGTTGACCCTACAGACAGGGCTGGAAACCAGTCAGTGGGATAAGGAGCGCCCATCGGCAGAGGAGAGACACGGGAGAGACCAGAGGCTAGACCTGGCACTGGAGGCACACTGCCCCCAGGGAGTGACTTTGAAGCTGCATTATGAAGAGGATGGCTGGCTAGGAGTGGTGGGAGGAAGAACGGTGGACATGCGAAGACGGGGTGCTGACAGAGAACATGCTGGAGTGGGGACAGCATGCTCAGAGATAGACACAGGAACCACTTTCTGTTCTTTGAGACCACAGTAGAAGCCCAGGACGAAAGCTCCTCATTCCTTTTCATTACCATATTTGCTGTGCTGTTCAATAGAGAGAGGGGATGCCATTGTTCGGGACTCCTCCTACTTCTACTCTTTATTAGACTCTTCTTAGACTACTCTCTTAGACTAGACTTCTTTTCGATTAGAACACCAGAGACAAAAATTCTGAATAAATCAGGGCCACTTGGGTAAATCAGCCTCACCATCATCACAATCACCAGTATCATCATTATAGTTCTCATTGCTGTCATCATCACCACCCCCACTATCATCTTAACATCATCACCACCATCATTATCACTGTCGTCATCAACCACCACTCATCACCATCACCACCACCACCATCATCATTGCCCCATCATTATCAACACCATCCTAATCACCAGGTCCATTATCAACACCATTTCCATTGTCATCATCACCATCACTACTAGCATTATTGCCGTCATTGTCACCACCAACACCATGATCATCAGTGTGAGAGTATTGGTCAAGGACACACAGTATAGATCATCATACTCTGTACACGAGCTATTTATAATAAACTGTAATGGGAAACTACACATAAAGTTATATAGCTTGATGCATGCGAAAATGCCAACTAGGGAAATAGATCTAAAAATTGACTGATAGGAAATATAGGAAGGACATACACTAAGAAGCAATTGTGCTATTTTGGGGGTAGTAGGAGCAGCTGAGTCTCTTTCTGAGTTTGCTATAATAAGAGTGTACAATTTTATCATTTAAAGGAACAGTGCCTTAATTTTATAAAGAGAAGCAAACAGGGCAGTTGGTACTGTCCCTGCGAAGGCCACACTGACCTTGGGTAAATCTACTTCTAAACTGTAAGAGAGAAGGCTGTGGAAGCAACACAGTGGGAGAGTGCTTGCTTAGCAGTGCGAGGCCCTGAGCTGGAGTTCCAGATAGTGAAGAAGAAAGAAAGACAAGAAAAGAAAGACAAGACAAAAACCCTTGTTGCTAACAGAAGGGATCTGCAGGAAGCTGTCTCCCCAGGATGTGCTCCCAGTCACGGGCTGGAAACATGGTTCAAGAAGGACAAAACAGATGGCTGGAATGCCTCAGGGCTTGAGGGGTCCCCCAGATGGCTGGAATGCCTCAGGGCTTGAGGGGTTCCCCAGATGGGCTGGAATGCCTCAGGGCTTGAGGGGTCCCCCAGATGGCTTAGGCTCTCTCCCTCCGCCACTGCCCTGGCCGCTCAAGGCCACTCAAGTGCTAGGCTTAGCCTCCATCCCTGCTCACCTGCCTATCTGTACTCTTTCTGCCTCTTTGTCACCAGCCCCAATCACAGTTACACAGCAGGGGGAGCTCCCTAGTCTGAGTGCTTGCCTGGCTCAGAGGAAGAGAGGGAAGGGGGAAGAAAGAGAGGAAAAGAACGGAACACGGGTGGGCAGACAAACACACCATCCGCTCTGGACTCATGGTATAAGTTAACAGAGTCGATTGAGTACCTTCCGAACAAGGAGTCTCTGGCATCAGTGGTCCATGGAACACTCTGTGGGACACTCCCCAAGACTACCCACCCATAAGTTTCAGTTTCACTGCAGCTGTGCCAGGATTGGCCAGGACATATCCAGGTTGGTAAAACATATGGTAGTTGATGGGAACTATGGAGCACCAGGAAAGCCCTCACATGCCCATCCATCCCCACCCAGTGCTGGGGAGGTGAGGATGGAGAAGCATGGGCCCCTGACTTCCCTTTCTCTTTCTTGTAAAGCCCCTTTGGATATATCTGTTACTTGTTGCCACCAGAGAAGCTAAGGAAGGGAGGATTTATTTCGGCTCACTGTTGAAGGGCTCCGTCCACCATGGTGGGGAAGTCATGGCAGACAAGAGCGTGAGGCGGCTCCTCACACTCCACGTGTGGGGTCACCTGCTCAGCTCACCTGCTGAGTTCAGGCCCCCAGTCCATGGAGTGGTGCCACCACAGTTAAAACAAATCCTCTCACTTCTGTTAACCTAATCTAGGTAATCCCTGATAGACATGACCAGAGATTTGTTTCCATGTCTACGTGTACGGATGATACGTGCAAAATACTGATCCAATAAACGGTGTTGGGAGAGAAGCTGTCCAGACGTCTAGTTGGGGAAATGGCCAGCTTTGTAGTCACACCAGTGTCCAGACCTAGGCTAGGCAGCTGACAGTCATTCTGCACACTGCAGACTGCCCATAGCATGCAGCACCTGCTACCCTTCTCTTAGCATCGTCTCCAGTGGGTTCTTCTGATAAGGCTCACATAGAACTGTAGGATGTGGCTTGTTCCCTTATCTCTGCCACCAGCCATCGAGAAACCCTGGGCAAGCATTTCTGACCTCTCACAAAAGGCAGCCGGTTTACCACTCTGGGGGCTGCTGTGCTGCTGAAAGGGGAAGGGCAGGTCCAGATGTGGCGGGGAAAAGGGCAGGTCCAGATGTGGCGGGGAAGTAGAGCAGAGGTTGCCTCTGTCTGCTGCTGCTGCTCCATTCTGCGAGACGATCTGGCAATATCCAGGGTCCATGCTAGAACACACCCAAGCCCACTCCTCAGTAAGGAAGGGAGGAGAGGTTGGAAACCCACCACGCAGATGCACAAAGAAGCCAGCTAAGGCTTGTCACAGCTGCACTGGTGATGTAAGCAGGTGTTGAACCTTGAGCCAAGGTCTAAGAGATAAGGCATTGCAAAGGCTCCACAGGTCAAGTTACAGGTCATAATAGGCTCCCAGGAAGCCTCTTAGTCTCCCTCATGCACATGACAGACATACAAGGTCAGGAATCAGAAGACTTAAAAAGACAGGCTAGAGAAATGGCTTCCATGGACAAAGCTGCTTGCTGCCAAGCCCAAGGAGCCAAGTTCCAGCCCCAGAACCCACAGGATAAAAGAGAACTGTCAGACCGACCCCCACATGTGCACCACAGTACACAGACCTGCACCCAACCCCACTAAATCAATAAATACAATAAAATTATCTTTAAAGTATTTAAAAAGAAGTTGGGAGGAAGATTTCTCTGGTGTATGTGGCGGGGTTGTGTGTGTGGGGGCTAGTTGATCTGTCCATGACACCATCTTCCTTTCAGAAGGGAAGAGGAGGGGTCGTTTCTGTCTTCTCCAAGTGGGAGTGTGGCATGTGTTCCCTGGATTTGTGGACGATGGCTGAAAATTCCAAAGGCAAGAGAGGGCAGCTCTCAGCCATGTGCCCAGAAGAAGCTGGCGTCAGGTGTGTGAGGCACAAACGTGTCTTGGGAACCGAGGTGAGCATCCTCCATGGAAGAGAGCCAGAGAGTGTTACCTCAGTTCCCGCCGAGTAGCTCCCACCACTCCAGCCTCAGTTGGGGGACCCTCAACGGAGGAAGCTACTCTTTAAGCACAACATATTTTCCTGCTTCCAAAGACTGTGGAGATGTCAGGGTCTTTCAGGAACCTTTGAAGGCTCTTTGGGCAGTCAGGCAGTGTGCACATGCCCCCTCGCAGAGCAGAGACCAATTGCCCACCTTCTCCACACAGTGCTGAGGGGAAACGTGAACTGTCTTCTGCTATCTGGCCCCTAGGTGTGGAATGCACCCCACAGCCCGGCTGTCCAAGGACTCAGGAAGTACTAACTAAATTTTCTCCTAGTTCAAAATGAAGCTAAATACCGCTACAGTTTTCAGCATATGGATGCTAAGACACTTACCTGTTCTTTAAGCCTGAAGGTACATTTGTTCTTATGTCTTCGTTACAGAGAATCTTAATTACATCCCTCTCTCTGGCTTTCTGGACTAGTGAACAAATACTACTTGTAAAGCTAACATTTAAATATGGTATCACAACAATAGTGCCATTTGATACTATTTGCAAATAATTACTATATAATATATACTTAATATTGTGATGGTTGGCTCACATATATAAAGCTTATCATGTCTTCATAACTAATAAAATACAGTTCACATCTTAAACATGAGTGTGTGCATATAGGTCTCTCCTGATTTATAAGTTGTTTGTGCTCTCACTGAAATGTCACTCGGAAGCTTTGAATGCTTGTTCCCTGGCTGTGGCTGTTACAGGAAGTTCTGGAAACTTGAGGAGGCGGAGTTTCACTAGAGGCAGTGGTCGCGGAGGGAGGGTCCTTGGATCGCTGGTGTCTCTGGCCCCTTCCTTCTTGCTCTGTTTCCTGACTGTCACAGCAAAGGCGCTTCTCCAATCTGCTCCTCTCACCCTGCTGTTCTCCCTAAATTCCCAAGGTCAAGAGACCATGGCCTCTGACACATAAGCTAAGCCAAGTCCTTCTCTGAAATAGTTTCTGTCGGGCATTTGGTCAAGGTAACACTGAAGGAGGCAATATGCAAACTTTCATGGGCCTCTTTCCCTTCCTTGATATCTAATTATTCCTCTAACTATCAATTAAATGTGACTATTTTGCCAGCGGTTTATTTAGAGTTGTCCCATCTGATGAAGGCTTTCATACTAGAGGCAAAGCAGAAATCTGTCTGCAAGGGACCCAGGGGAATGAGCCCGCTGTGCAGGAACAGAATGTAGTGTGGCTCATATCTAATTTTAATATTTTAATTTATATACTTCCAGAAACATAGGTCAATAAGAAATCCACTTTCAGATTTTATTTCATTATAGAATATATTTGATGAGGGTACATACAAACGGCTTCATCTTGAGTCACGTTCTTTTCTGGTGCCCTGCCCTTACACAGCAGGCTTGAGATGGCAAGGGGGATGTCTCCACTGTTGTCCTCTCTGACCACGCTAAACAGCCAGCGCGGTAGAGTTCAGATAACTCAGTTCACTTACTTGCTTAAGTGAGTTTTAAAAAAAAATCTCAGTATTTGTTCTTAACTCTTTGTAATCCTTCTACTTAAAAATCCAAGATACAGTCCCCAATGTAAACAGTAAATTCAATCTGTCGCACAATGGGTAAGGCCTTCTTGACACATTTAGACCCCCTACGATCTACTCACCAGCATGTAATTTTAGTCCATATGCTCGCACTGTCCATGCAGGAGAGTCAGGAAAGGAAGCTGCCCTTAGCACGGGAGCCTCTGAGGTGCTACACTCTACAGGCTGCCACCACACTGAAGGGAGTCCCCCTCCAACTTGACCTACTTGGTCATCCAGTACAACGTGCAATATCCAGAGTACACACGTCAAGGCCCAGCCTTGGGCATTTTATCATGAGCTGCTAAACTCTATACAAGGACAATACCGTATCATGCCATTAATACACAGAGGGTGGTAGCTACATGTCTCGCCATTAACCAGGGCACAAGAACAGAGACTGGGCGGGTGGGGGGTGTAATTTGTGGAGGTGCTGAGAAACTGGCTATGTCCCGGGAAGGGCAGTGTAGCCAGAGAGTGGAAGCACCTATACACCCCACTGCACCCCACAGGCTCTGTAGTAGAAACTGCTTATCCAGAGAGAACACAACCCCTTTGTTGTCAGCCTCACAAAGGTATGGGGTTAGTGAGATCTTAGTTACGGGACCAAGGAAAGTCTGGTATTTGCATTCCTGATTCAGCTGGGCAAATCAGTTATGTGATTTATCCTTTGAGGACGAATTAGTCAGCAATGACCCCAGTTCCATGCTCCATCCTCATAAATATCCCACTTGGCAAGGTGAAGCAGTGAAGACTATATACAGTATTTTAGAAGGCATTCTGTGACCACTTTGAAGAGTTCATAGAAAAGTGACTATAAGAACACACCAGTCCCTTCCTTTGATGCCACTGCCATGTAAACCTTGGGAACTTCCTTTACCCGACATGCATTCTGTCCCGCACTATGTAACAAAGGCGGACATGAAACCGCTTATCTGGTGTGACACTTGCTGGCTGCCCAGCTAAGGTAACCGGTAGAGGGACAATTTTCCTGAGGTTTGTAAGAGTTTGTAGACAAAACAGAAATCACAGTGACCAAGCGGAACATGAGTCTGTCTGCTCCCGGAGCTCCTTCCTGTGGGGGTTAGAGGACCCGCCACTGCATGATGCTCGTGTCCTTCCCACCCGTGGAGATGAGGTGGCTGTCTTCACGGAGGAAGTCGACGTTGGTGACGTGGCTGCTGTGTCCTCCATAGATGTGGCTCGGAGCCTGGCAAAGTGTGGCAAGGAAGAAAGCTTAGATGGGGCAGACGGGACCTCAGGAGATGCTTGGATTTGAGATGGGTTCATAACTGCTCTCCCCCTCGTAAGCTGCTCTTGTCTGCTTTGTGTGCAGAGCTCAAGGGGGGTGCAGGAATAACCCCCCGGGACAGAGGCAAGCACATGATAGACCTGAGATCAAGTACAGTCAATGCCAGGGGATGCACCAGGTTCTAGCCAACTCTATGGTAGGATTAAGCAATTGCTGGGGTGAGTGACAGGGTCGTCTGGCTGAAGGAGGTTCAGATTCACCAAGGCCCAGGAAAAACAATCTAGGTACAGGATGGTCAGCTCAGCAGGGCTGGAGTGGGTGTAGGGAGGAAGGAAGTAGGTGTGTGTGTGTGCGCGCGCGCGCGCCGGGGGCGGGGGTGTTGGGGTGAAGCCCACGTAGCTGCAGAGGTAGACATACCAGATAGAGAGCTTTGTGGGCCACATCTGGGCCGAGGTTGCCCCGAGAGCAGCGGGGAACCACAGAGGTGCTCAGGCAACAGATTATCAGGGTCATATGCTGGCAGCCCTCGTCCACAGTTCATTTCCAACAGGTCAGAGCATCAGTGCATGGCCTGCAGGAGGAGTGTGCACAGCTAAGGCCTTACCCTGAACTGCGAGCAAGGGTAGGAGAAGAGGTGCACTTTGCCGAAGTCGTCGCCTGTGCACAGGAGCTTTTTCTCATGGGCCCGGCAGACGGCATTGATGTCTGTTCCGTCGGAGCCTTCTGGCCACACTCCTGAAACAGCACAGACAACACTGGAAACCCCAGAGCCACAACACGTAGGAACTGGTCACCAACAGGCCACGGGAAGAAAACCACCTTCAGTCTGGGCTTTAGAATCAAGGGCCAGGAGGAGGCTCATTTGCAACTCCTGCCTCTCTCTGACTGCTAGTTCCAGTCCACCCTGGGCCAGCCCTGAGAAGCTCTACGTCACTTCTAACAGCTTTGCTGAGTCTCACGGCCCCAGCAGCCTTGTGAATTGCCTGCCTCCACTGGGGTCCTTCTGGGTGCAATGGCAGAGTACCAGCTGCCCCCGGTTATGAAATGATGCCTTCCCATCGTAGGTCCTTGAGATTGCAGGGGTACCTGGAGGGTGGGGGCACTGTGTCCTGGGAGAGACTTTTGAATTCCTATCAACCCACTGACTTCCGGCTGTTCAGACTGTAGCAATTTATTTTAGGCTACTGTGAATGTATTTCCAAGATGAGCTTTGAAGGAAGTGAAAATTTTTAGGCTAAGGGCAAAAAAATAGAATAGTCCTAACAAGCGGTAAGTAAATCAAGTGCTGCATGGTTCATGTAGGTGCAACATCCATGTAATCACTGGACGAGGAACGCCCTGTCTTGGGGAAAGGTTAATCACCTCCTCATCCTTCTCGCCTGGCCTGAGCCTGGGCCGTGAGGAAAGTGTGTGTCATGGCCCCAAGCAGGGACAGCAGAACGACAAGATCGAAGGTGGTGGGGCTGGAACGATGGCTCAGTGATTTAGAGCGAGGGTTCGATTCCCAGCACCTACATGGCAACTAACCATTATCAGTAACTCTAGTAGCAAGGGGATCTGACGCCCTCTTCTGACTTCACGGGCACTGTACACACATGGTGCACAGACATACATGCAGACAAAACACTCATACCTATTAGCAATGAAAAATAATTTCTTAAAGAGAGACTTGAGGTGGTGTGATCTCACGCGTAACATAGTCTATGTTCAGAGTCAACGACACCTGCAAATTCCTACCGAAGACATGGAATCCCAGGGTGCAGGTGTACGTGGCCCACTCGATGTCCCTGGTGGTTTCCACACTCACGACTTGCTTACAGGCAGACGGGACCCCTGGAAGAAGCAAACAGCCTTGTGACTTTTCAGCCAAGGCCCCAGCTCTCCCTGGGGCCAGGTAGGGTCCTCAGAGCTATGCCCCATCTGGCAAGACCCCCCCCCCACATTCCTACTCCTGGGAGCAGTGTGCACAGTTGTCAGTTTGTCCGGGAGTGAGTGTGAATCTGGGTTTAAGAAGGGCTGCCTTCCAGTATCCATGTCCTCTTCTGAGACTCTCCTCTGCTACCCAGCCTGGCTCCTCTCCTCTGTGACCAGTCTCTGGTCCCCAGCCACTATTGCTCAGTGTCCTCATGGAGGGGCCGAGCGCTTCTCTGCTTCTGGGCTGTTCAGCCCTTTCCCAGCGCGCGTGTGCGCGTGCGCACACACACACACACACACACACACACACACACACACGCACGCACACACGCACGCACACATGCAGACCCTCATGCAGATCTCTGACTCTTCAGCTCTGAGACAAGGATGCAAGTGCAGGAAACCAGTTTCAGCAGGTGCCGAGACCTCCAGGCTCATCTGTCTGCTCCCCATATGAATCTCACCAATGGTTTGGGTGCCCGTGTCTGGGTAGGTCCTAGAACCAGGTCTATCCCCACAGCGTCTGCCTGCTGTGTGCCTACATGTTTTGGACCTGTAGAGGCGGGACTCCCTCCTGGGACTGGCTGCCTCTTTTCTCTGCCTTTCCCAGGCTCCTTAACAGGTGGGCAACAGTTCCAGGGGAGTGTAACTTTCTCCCCACCCACTGGCTTTTGGCCCCTCGCCGGCATCCGAACCCTGATTTCTGTATTCATAAAAGAGCATGAGTCTGAAAGTGCCAGAAGACACTGCATCATGAGAAAGTGCAGGCAACAGCAGTGAGCATCCCGAGGGATGGCGACCAGAACACCGTCATGTCCCACGGGCCCCCTGCAGTTTGCTCAGGGACGGCACATGCAGGTACTGTCATTAGCATCCTCCCTCCCCCCAGTCCCTGCCTATGCACAGAGAATAGCCAAAGGTAGGCTCGAAGAAACGGAATAGGGTCCAGGGGCTTTTATCCACCCAAGTGGGAGGGACTTGATGGTGTCTGCCTGCTTGGGAGGGTTCCTTTACCAGGGCCAATCATACTGTGATATTGACCCACCTCCTGGACCTCCACACCTCTTCCCTGGGATGGGCCCTGCTCTTCAACTAGACCCCTCCCAACCAACCCAATCCAGTGTTAGGCCAATTCTTTCCTATCACAGAGGACACTGAGGGATGGAGAGGGCCTCATCCCACACAGGCCCGTGGGAGTCTCGGAATCCAAACCCTGACATCCCGGTTGCCTGTTACTCACAGTAGAGGATTTCATAGTCGCCAGAATTGGACACCAGGAATTGTGAGTTCACAGACCAGTCGAGGTGGGTGATGAAGCTGGAGTGACCCTAGGAGAGGAGAACACTGGGTAAGTGCCTCTTGCCTTTCTGAACGTGGCAGACGCCATGCCACGGTAATGAAATGGCCACGTAAGAGTCCCCAGGAAGCAAGGAAACGTACGGAGCACTTGCCAACTCTTGTGTATTTCCTCCCGTTGTCGCCAACTCCGTATATGTAGATGCAGTTGTCGTGGGAGCCTATTGCTAAGAAATTCCCATCTGCAGAAACAGGAAAGGTGCAAATGTGAAGTCATCATTTTATTTATCACAAGAGAAAATCCTACCTGCTACTATAGACTTGGACCAAGCAGCCCAGTTAATGAATTATTCAAAGGGAAACATTGTATTTCAGTGCATCCTATACAGCTTTCAAAGCTCTCGTTTGTAAAATACCCATAGAATAATAAGTGTAAGTCTGGTGGAAGTTTATAAAAATCATTTTTCTTCAAACTTTTAAAATATAATTTTGAAATTTTTATTTTATGTGTATGCGTATTTTGTTCACATTTATGTAAGTATGTACCCTATGTATGTGCAGTGCCCGAGGAGGCCAGAAGGGGGCATCAGAACCCTTGGAACTGGAGTCACAGGTAGGTATAAGTTCAGAGGTTCAGTTCATTATCATCCTGGGACATGGCAGCACTCAGGCAGACATGGTGCTGGAGAAGGAGCTGAGAGCCCTGCATCTTGATGGGCAGGCAACAGGAAGTGAACTGAGACACTGGTGTAGGTGTAGCTTGAGCATAGGAGACCTCAAAGCCCGCCCCCACAGTGACACACTTCCTCCAACAAGGCCACACCTCTCCCATTCGTGCCATTCACTTTGGAGGCTGTTTTCTTTCAGACCACCACACACGTGCAGGCTGCCTCTCACAGTCCTCAGCCAGGCCCACTAGACAACCTCTGGGTAGTTCCCAGCGGTCACTGGCAATCACCATCATGTCCCCCAGCAGGCCCATCCTCTCCCCATAGGAGGAATGCACAGGGTGGCACGGCCTGAGACCACCAGGAAATGGGATTTTAGGATGCCCCTAGCAAAACAGCCTAAGCCGTCAGGAAGCCCAAAGGGAGAGGGCAAGCATATTTGCTGGAGAGGGGGTAAGACTATGACAGAAGCTGGGACACTGGGCAGACCATCCACACTGCTGGCGACACACAGGGCCAGGGTGCGTCATGAGATCCAGTGTCCCTAGCCGGGCATTGGTGGCGCATGCCTTTAATCCCAGCACTCGGGAGGCAGAGGCAGGCGGATCTCTGTGAGTTCGAGGCCAGGCTGGACCGACAGCCTCCAAAACAGAGAAACCCTGCCTCGTAAAACCAAAAAAAAAAAAAAAAGATCCAGTGTCCCTGCACTGACACCATCTGATGGTGACCACAGCCACTATCAACCACTAGCGACTGTCACTTTCCCAGTGGTGGCTATGGACCAGTGCTGCCCAAGCTGTTCCCACACTAACCTGCTCAGATGTTGTGAGGCAGGGGTTGCCAACCCTGTATTTTAGGATTAGACCATGGTGACCCAGGGTGTGTGTGTGTGTGTGTGTGTGTGTGTGTGTGTGTGTGTGTGTGCATACATGTGCACAGGCCGCAGTGCATGAGTAGGGCGCAGAAGATGATTCGTAGGGACTTAGTTTGCTCATTCTACCATTTGGGGCCTAGGGATCCAACTCAGGAGGCCAGGCTTGGCAAGAGGCACCTTTACCTGCTATGTGTTTCATGGCTGCCTGGGTTCCAGCATCAACTCTGGTTGCTGAGACCATTGGGGTGGTTTGAATTAAGAATGGTCCCCATAGACTCATAGATTGCAATGCTTAGTCACCATGGAGTGGTACCATTTGAAAGGATTAAGATTAGAAGTGTGGCCTTGTTGGAGTAGGTGTGGTTTTGTTGAAGAAAGTGTGTCACTGGGTGTAGGCTTTGAGGTGTCAAAAAGCTCATGCCAGACCTAGTCCGTAGTCTCTCCCTCTCTGCCTGCAAATCAGGGTGTAGCTCTCAGCTGCTGCTCCCTGGACTGCCTGCCTTCACCCTACCATGATGAGAATGGACTAAACCTCTGAAACCGTAAGCCAGCCCCAGTTAAATGCTTTCTTGTATAAGAATTGCATTGGTCATGGTGTCTCTTCCCAGCAATAGAACAGTAACTAGGACAGCCACTCCCCAAAGTCTTTGTCCACTGCCCAGGTGCTGCTCCTGGGCCTCCCTGCTGGTTTCTAGACATTAGTGACATTTTTATCTCCCATAGTCCTCTGTCAGGGAACACATGGGCACCTCCTCTTTTAGTTGAGCCTCTCAATAATGTGCTGCCTGATTTGTCAAAGCCATTGGGTTGACAAAGAGCACTAACTCCAGACAGTCGGCTGGTCCAGGGCGCTCACACGTAGTGGGTAGTCCGTGACACAGAGGGGAGGCAGCATTACCTGGAGGAAAGTTCCAGGGATTGCCATTGGGATAACAGAGAAGAAACAGAGACACATGCCCTGCAAACATGAACAACATCTGAGGAAGACAGGCTGCAGGATGAGGCTCTCTTGCACCTACTGAAGAGCTTCAAAATAACTATGAGAAGGACAAGACACCTAATGGTAACCCAAAGAAGAATGCGCATGGGGAACTAGGAAATAACTGTGAGCTGAAAACACTCCTTAAAATGCCTGAGGCGTGGCTTAGGTATGGGGGGGGAGGGGGATTTGTAGCCTAGAGCATCTGTAAGGTAAGGAAAGTTACTCCATAAATAATCTGTGTGTTTGCCCTCAGAGGCGGAAGGGTGGGAACTCAAGATAAATCAAACAGGAAAACAAAGAAGGGCAATAAACACTAGGACAGAAAAATAATAGGAAAAACCCCACCAGTGACATACAGAATTGTCCCTTTGCAAACAAAGATCAGCAAGATTGACAAAGTGGCGAAAGCCATGCTGTCACCCTTGGAAACCGTGCATAAGTGTATTGCAAATGGAATTCCTTAGACCTCAAGGTCCTTTGGAGAATCCCACCCATGTGACAAGGACCTATGGATACAACACTGCAAACTCCTGCGCTGACCTTCGGGAGCTCATTGGTTTCAGGCTTCATAGCTTTTGCTATGCTTAATCCCATGGTAACTCATGGTAGTCATGATTATGCCTGAGTTTACTGGGAATTATAGAAAAATTACATTTCTCTGATCTGTTACAGAAGCCAGTTTTTCCAGTCCTCCTGGCTGCCTTTGCTGTCATCCTGAATAAGCAGGAGGAACTCACTAAGGTTAATGATTAGTGCTTGTTCAATTCCAAAAAGAAATAAATATATTCCAAAGAATTTAGGAACCTGCTGGGCAGTGGTGGCACACGCCTTTAATCCCAGCACTCAGAGGCAGAAGCAGGGCCAGCCTGGTCTACAAGAGCTAGCTAGTTCCAGGACAGCCTCCAAAGCAACAGAGAAATCTGTCTCAAAACAAAACAAAACAAAACAAAACAAAAAAACCCTTAGGAATCAAGAAAATGATTTCTTAAAAGTTGACATTAAAAACCTTAGAGGAGCCGGGCGGTGGTGGCGCACGCCTTTAATCCCAGCACTCGGGAGGCAGAGGCAGGCGGATCTCTGTGAGTTCGAGGCCAGGCTGGACCGACAGCCTCCATAACAATACAGAGAAACCCTGTCTCGTAAAAACCAAAAAAAAAAAAAAAAAAAAAAAACCTTAGAGGAACACAGAAGGAAGAAGAGATGGGACATGAAAGGTCAGACATTTCTCTGACACTAGGACAGGAACACTCACATACTTTTCCAATATCAGAGTATCAATAAAAGAATCTAAAACTCCTAGTTCCTCCTTAAAAAGTATATTTAGAAATTGCCAGGAAGAATAAAGAAACTTAAGTCTCAAAAGTTAAAGAGTTAGATATTAATCATTACTGTTTTGAGAACTTATAAAGAGTAGGATTATAACTGCAATCCCCATACTAGAGGTGATACATAGATGAATTAGACACTGGTATACACCTGAAAATGACATCATAGACATCCCAATACACCCAGCTGGCTTCCCATTCTTAAGCATTAATCACCAGGCTCAAATCTCTTACTTTGTAACCACATGTTTGTGGCCGGCTAGGGCACAGTGTGAACAAGATGTACCTAGCTAGATATAAACGTTTGGCTTGCTATATAATGATATGGGGTAAAGGTCAATGATATCGAGGGAGTGGGAAAGAAAAGAAACGGTAATGATTCTCGGAAAACGATGAAAGAGAAATGATTTTAAACTGCTCAGGCTTGAATGCATTGGAACTTGTATAAATAAAGACAGCCTGAGCTAGTTGGGGCCATCAGTTTGAAAGACGACTTCGCACATCCTTCCTCTGGCATAGGACCCTACCAGAGCTGGACTCCAGAAACGAGGCTCTGTCTAGTTGATCAAGAGAAAGGACATCAGTTTCCAGCATCAGGAATGAGACACGGGCTACACATGAGCATCCTGGGACAAGGATTGTAATCAGATACTGTACATGTTGATGCCCACAAATGACCTGACACAGACAAAGTGAGTTCCAAATTGACCCGTATCGTCAAACTGCCTTGAAGGAAAAAAGTCAGCATAAAGCTACAACTTTTAAAAAGCCACCGATCAAGCTGTTAAAACCCTCCCCAAAGTGGGTGTGTGGTGGTATATGCCATCCCAGCAGGCAGGGTGGACTGCTAGAATTCTGAGGCTAGCACAGGCCACGACAGCCAAGTTCACAACAGTCACGATTTTGTATCGAGACCCTGTCTCCAAACCAACCAACGCGCATACATAAATACCACCTACAAAGAGCATCTCCATAGTTTCACTGAATCTATGTGAATGATATCAAATAGTTGATACGTATCCATCAGGTGTGGTGGCGCAGGCCTGGAATCTCAGGACTCGGGAGGTTTGAGGCAGGAGGAGGACAGCAAATTCCAGACTGGGCTACATAGCAAATCAGTCTCTCTGTCTCTGTCTGTGTGCATCTACATATCTCCGTGTCTCTGGACTATAACTCCTCCACAAGCTCAGAAAACAGGAAGACACACCTCATCATACTCTATGAGGCCAATAACACTTTTCTAATGAAGACATCACAGTAACACTAGAGACCAACACAACCATGAATGCAAACCCTCCACAATATAGTAGTAACTAAAATTTAACAATATAGAAAAGATATGAAATTTACCACAGAAATGTAGTTGTTGAGTGTTAGAAAACTAATATGCCACATTTGAAAAGAACAAACGCATTCCCCATCTTTTTTTTCCAAGACAAGGTCTCACTATGTAGCCTTGACTGTCCTGGAACTCTCTTTTAGACCAGGCTGGCCTTGAACTCACAGATTCTCCTACCTTTTCCTCCTGAGCGCTGGGTGTACGGCCACCACCACCCAGCTCACTTTTCCCCCACATTCTCTTCTTACCAGATGTAGAAGCAATCTCAACACGTCTTGTGCTGAGAACATCAGGACAGAAAAGACTGTCCTCAGGATGAATGGCATCTCTGTCCCTAAAGATGAAAGCCCAAGAGCAAAACAAGAGAGACACTAGACCAGAACCATCCACGTTTTACTAAAGGAACCAGCTATGCAGTGAAAGACAAGTAAAGACATCTAGATCCAAAAAGGAAAATCCCAAGGACTATATACACACACATACATAAATAACACATGCACATACACACGTAAACACCACATTCACACCCACCATCCACACACACATACATATATACATACATACACAAGCCACCCACACATTACACATACTTGCATGCACATATACATAAATCACACACAAATAAACATGAATACATACAAACCACACATGTATACACACAAACCACACATACATACATATACATAAACCACACACATATAGACACACATACATACACGACACGCAAACTACACATAACACACACACAAACCATACACACTAAACCACACATATAAATACATACAACCACACAAGTATTCACACAAACCACACATACACACATGCACATACGTGCATGTAATACCCCACCTCTTTAAAACTGATTAGACAGTGTAGAAACCTATGTAAGAGCCATAGGCAAAATTCAATTTTATTCTCATATACTAGTAACCAATCATCTGAAAATAAAATCCAGAAAATTTCCATTCACAAGAACATAAAAATAACAGGAATAGCTAGAAGAAATACGAATTTACCAAACAGGGCTGGGAAGTAGGTCCTTGGAACGCATGCTTACATGACCCACACTTCACGGGTCATGTAAGCCCCTGGCCCCATGGCCCTCTGAACTACACATTTATAATGGGCAGATGACACGCATCCTGGGGGGCATGAAAGCAACAGAGAGACCGCTTCAAAGTCTGGTGATGGGGTGGGACCCTCGCCCCGATGCTCTGTCTAATTCTGTTTGAGACTTTCTGTAACAGAAGCTGAGCAGTGGTGGCGCACGCCTTTAATCCCAGCACTCCGGAGGCAGAGGCAGGCGGATCTCCAGATGTCTGTGAGTTCAAGGCCAATCTGTTCTACATAGTGAATTCCAGGACAGATAGGGCTACACAGAGAAATCCTGTCTCAAAAGATGAGAGAGACAGAGAGAGAGAGAGAGAGAGACAGAGAGAGAGAGACAGAGAGAGAGACAGAAAGAGAGACAGAGAGACAGAGAGAGAGAGACAGAGAGCAACAGAGAAAGACAGAGAGACAGAGACAGAGAGAGACAGAGACAGACACACAGACACACAGACAGAGACAGACACACAGACAGAAACAGTTACTCAGTGACCTAAGGGAGAGCAGCTAACCACAGCTACTCTCACGCTTAAGTCTCCCTGGAGGAGGGCTGTTGCTTGTCTCTTGTACAGAATGGCATCATTTGTGAGAAACGGAAAGTTGTATCTGACCTGGGGAATAACGCATCACGGACAGCTGCTCGTTTCCGTCTGTGTGGACGGTGACCAAGTCCTTCGTTTCCGTGTCAAACACAAACCACCTGTTGTAAAAGAGACACACACAGTGAGCTGTCTGTGAAGTGCAAGGCTGTCCCAACAGCATGAGCCTGTAAACACACTCAGCTCTTACTTGAGGAAATCCCCCCCCCAGCAGCTTTCACCTCAGAAAGGAGCTGCACATTGACAACCTCCGGAAGTTCTTCAGAAATTAGCACTGAAGGCTTTCTCGGGGTCTTGTTTGCACACGGGAGCTTTGCCCCGAGCAGGAGGATGAGCGAAACCTGGCATCAGGACCTGCGGTCAGAGGTCAGAGGTACAGCAGACAGCCACAGGCATGAGGTTGCTGCCCCAGAGCGGTCCAGGGTGAGGAGGGGACCCCAGAGTGTGGGTAGAGAGGTGAGGTGTTGTAATTTAAGAAAAGCAGTGCCCGAGAGAAAGATGCCAGGAGAGAGGGTTCAAGCTGAGGGTTTTTGTTTGTTTGTTTGGTGGGTTTGCTTTTAATTAGGGAAAGGGATCACAAAAAAGGGGAAAGGGGAGACCGACTTCTGGACACAGGAGCAACAGGAGAGAGGAGAGAGGGGAGGAAGAGAGAAAGGAGAGGGGAGAGAGAGAGCAGGACAGAGAGACGGAGAGAAAGAGGTGGATGGGAGGTGTGCAGGGCCTTTTTAAGGGAACACAGTGAATGTGCACAGGTGGTGCTCTTAGTGGCTGCAGCTGGGGGTGCATCCTGTCAGAACCCCCACAGGCAGGCCAGCACAGATGCCTGAGTACTATGAGGGGCTAGGACAGTTTGTCCCCTGCTGCTCCCCACTGTGATGGGACTAATTAGTGCTTCTCTTAAGGCCAGGGGACAGGAAACAGGGTGTGTAAACATCAGAACGATGGTGCTCCTGGGCCCTGGGCATGGCTTCAGACCTGGATGACAGACAGAGATCCTGCCGTCCTATCTACCTTTCAAACCTATACGTTGCTTTCAGCTGAGTATTTGGCCCTGGGATCAAAGATGGAAGAGGAGCAGACAAAGTGGTAGGATTAGGTCACATGTGTCACCTATTCCATCCTAGGACATTTCAATTCTGAATGCTGTCGCACGCCCCCTGTCAGCAAAGATGATGGTGTCTGTCAGGCTGCCAGCCAGTCTTCAGAGGGGAGGGCCTACCGAATTAAAACTATGATGTCTCAAAGAGAGTCCCTGTGTGCCTGCATGCACGCATGAGTGTCATCATGCATTATATATATATATATATATATACATATATATATATAAAGAAAATCACGTGTACAGGTGTGAGTCTGTGGCTAGGTTTTTATACGCATAAGCAGTACCAGAGAACGACAGTAGAGGGCGCCAAGTACCCCTGGAGATGGCGTTACAGATGGCTGTGAAGCTGCCTGTGGGCTCTGGGGAACACACCTGGGTCCTCTTTAGGAGCAATATGTGATCTCAACTGTTGAGCCATCTCTCCAGCCCCTCCCCGGCAAGCATTTTGCAGAAGGGTTCTTAATACATTGTTACTATGACTTGTGAGTAGTTGTCTCGGCAAACCCCACAGGTATGGGGCAGAATCGGAGTGGCATGCTTTTAGGAAAGGGACGGTGGGAGGGAACATCTAAGAATATATGGCTGGAGCTACAAGAGGCTCAGTCCTCCTCATCCAGGGTGTTGCTCTCTATGACTTCATTTCCCCTTTCAACCTTAGGCTTCAAAAGTATTGAATGGAGAAGCCCAGAAAAAAAAATCTGTAAGTTTTACATTGTGTCTGTTCCGAGGACATTGTTCACTTCATTTCATCTCTGTGAGGAATTATGGGATAAAATGGTGAGTCCGCCATAACCAGATGCTCTGAGACAAAACAACATGGAGAATGTCTACAGTCACAAAGGTCCACCTGGTTATTAGTTAGCGCCATGCATCTGGCCAAGCCGCATGACTTCATCCAATTCTATCACAGGCATGTGTGAGAGGAAAGAGCTAGGTTATGTGAGGTTCTGTGCTAATCACACTTTTAGACATCCAGCAGGGGCCTTGGGCCACATCCCCTGAGACCTGCTCTACTGAGCCAAACAAAATGGAAACACGGCCAAATCCTGCCACGCAATGATAATACCAGCCGCCGCTGTCGCCCGAGAGCCAGCTCAGCAGACGTCCCTAGGTACACGGCTTTTTCAGGCATCAGTGTTGGTGGTGTTACCATAACTCACAGACAAGAAAGACCGTCACAGAGTTTACATAACCGGCTCACACAGATGCGCTGCTGCTACGCAGGGAGGCTGGAGAGCGAGCGCACGTCTACTGTCCAGTGAGAGAGGAGGCTGGAGAGAGGAAGCTGAGGCTGAATGGGAGGCCCAGGATCTGGGCACTTCCTATAGCGTTGCAAGTTTCTTCAGCTTCATTGCTCGGTGTTTTGGGATGCTTTCTTGCCCGTTTCGGGCACAGGCTGTAGATCAGTGGTTCTCAACCTTCCTAATGCTGTCAATCTTTAACAAAGTTCCTCATGTTGTGGTGACCTCCAACCATAAAACTGTTTCAGTGCTACTTCGAAACTGTGATAGTGCTACTGTTACGAATGGTCATGTAAACATGTGTGTTTTCTGATGAGTTCAGGAGTGGTGACCCACAGGTCGAGAACCACTACAGCAGGCTTCCAGGAACTCTCCAGAGACTCTGGAGCTAAGAGGCGGGTGGGGTGGGGTGGGGGTGGAGTTGGGGTGGAGACCCGTTGACAGATCCATGGCCTTGCTCAAGGTTTCAAGCTGAAAGGGCTCAGTTTCGCTTTTGGGTTTTGACTTAATTCTCAGTAAATGACTAGAGCAGAGACAATGCAGTCAAAGCTGGCATGCCCCTGCCCCTGCTTCTGAGGAGGGGCTCAGATGTCAGCTGCTCCCCATAACTCTGACGGCATAGGCTGTACTACGGGTGGGGTGGAGACGGGGCTCGCTTACCTCCCAGTCAGGGTCCCCACGGCAACCACAGACCCTGAAGGATGAAAACCAGAAGACTGAGCTGGATCCTAAAACATTTTAAAGGAAGTGTAAATAGACGGCCCGACACAGCAGGACAGCACAACACCCACCCTCTTCTCAGACTACGCGGCTCTGCTAAAAAGTCCCCTCGCTCCCCAGAAGAAATGCAGTCCCACTGGGATCCGCGTTGCGCGGCCATCACAGCACAAGTCTGTTCTTGACGAACCCCTCTGTTGTCTTATCCTGTCTACAGGAGCCACAGATAAGGACTCTTCTTCTGGGCCACAGTTTGTATATCCAGACCTCTCACTGACCCCTGGGCTCAGCGGAAAGTTGGTCAAATACTGTACTCCATCTATCTGGGAACACAGCCACTGACCACCACCAGGGCAGGAGTGGATATCGGAGGCAGAGGGATGCTACCAGATCAACTGAAACCAAAGGGGAGACAGAGGCTCCATACCAGTCACACCAGCTTTAGCTAATTCCAAAAGAGGTCGTCCTCACCAAGCCTGAAAGCCGAACTCGGCTCCCTTGACCCGACTCCCCGACAAGCTGTCTCTGCAAACACAGCTCACCGGAAGCACACAACTGTTTTCATATGGAGGTGCTGAGGTGTGGAGAGGCTAAGGGCTCCTGTCCATCGGGGATGGCGGGAAGAGGGTCTAGGATACTGCAGGCTGTGGATCCCAGCCCTGGTCCCACATTGTGTTAGGCCAGAGCCGTTAGCTGCCTGGTGAGGGCAGGGAGGTGGGGAGCGAGGCCTCACAAGGCCTCACAGTTGGTGGCCATGCTCATGGGACCGCAGGAGGGCTGCAGAGGAAGTGCCTGGCCTCAGACCCTCTACCCTGGGGCTCAGCTGGCTGCAGTGACCAGGACCCTGTGGCAGTCTTATCTGCTAGTGGAGACAGGGGAGACAGGCCCAGTCCCAGGCCCTTGGAAATACCAGCAGCTTTGCTGGGAATGAGTGCATGATCCCCGGCACTGCAAGAGGGCTGTCTCCTCATACAGGGTGTGTGAGTCATTATGACGTAGGTAACGGATGGAGGCCGCCTGGGATCCACTGTAGTGTGACGGAACAGCACAGCCTGGGCTTGGGAGTCAGTGTGAGCTGGGCAGCTGAGCCACTTACTTTGTATAAGTGTTCTGCCTGCATGTCTGCCTGCAGGCCAGAAGAGGGCACCAGAGCTCATTACAGATGGCTGTGAGCCACCATGTGGGTGCTGGGAATTGAACTCAGGACCTTTGGAAGAGCAGCCAGTGCTCTTAACCTCTGAGCCATCTCTCTAGCCCTGGAGGTATTCTTAAAAACAAGGTAGTTATTAAAAGATAAAGCAACTCCTTATCATTGTTAATTTCATGCCAAAATACATCCCAGATGAGTTTTTATAACAAAACCAGAAAGGTTGCATGCACACTTACCTCTATGATTTTGTCCCAGACGGGCCGGTGACCAACAGCGTCCCAGAGAGTGGCGTGCTTGTCATGTCCACAGGTCAAGAACTGAGGTTTGGAGGCGTGGATAGCCAGCCCCCAGAGCTCATCAGTGTGACCCTATACAGAACCAAGACAGGGACCCTGAGTTCCCACGGTCACACAGAGCCTCCTCCATGCCTGGATGGCAGTCGCATCAGCTCGTTCCAGCTTAGTCATGGCACCAAACACAGCTCTGAAGTAGAAGGTCATCTCACTGGGAAACTCAGGAGCCAGCCCCCGCTTCCAGTAGTGGCCGAGTGTAAGAGTTTGGCATTTGCCAAGCTGACAATACCTGAGTGATGGGTGTGAAGTCCCCTGACAAGGTGCCTTGCAGGACAAAGTTTCTAGTGGTGCCTATCAAGATGACATTGCCCTTGCCCTCAGCCACTGTCCGTATTGGGCCGAACTGCTCAGGAATCTGGAAGGTAAAGAGTCACATGAAAACAAGACTGAAGATTTCATTCAATTGGCTCCTCCCCCCCCCCAGAGCTCTCATTGTGTAGTTCAGGCTAGCTCCAAATTTACTATGCAACCTAGGCTGGCCTCAAACTTGAGGAAATCCTGATTTAGTCCCTCCCAAGCTCTAGGATTATAAACGTGTGCCAGCATTTGGCTCAGGCATTAAAAATATTTGTGTCACCTGACAGTGGTGGCATATGCCTTTATTCCCAACACTCAAAGGAGGCAGAGGTAGGAGATCCTCTGTGAGTGTTTGAGCCCAGCCTGGTCAACAGAGTGAGTTACAGGACGAGCCAGAGCTACCCAGAGAAGTCCTGTCTAGAAACAAAACAAAACAAAAATTGTGTGGTGTGCTAACTTTTATGACAGTTGTACATATGTACCCAGAAGAGGGACTTAGTTATACAGATACCACAACCAGCTGTTGAACAAGTGATCAAAACCCTAAACCGTGTGTGTGTGTATGTGTGTGTGTGTTTGTGTGTGTGAATGTGTGTTTGTGTATGTGTGTGAGAGAAGTTGTGTGTGTGTGTGAGAGAGAGAAATAGAGCGTGTGTGTATGTATGCATACACATGTGTTTGCTTGCTAGTAGTGTTAGAGGTGGACTTGGGACCTCTTGCATCTATACAAGTTCTTTACTTTTTAAACTGTAAAAATTCTAAATATCTTAAATGAATCAGCAAGAATAAAGGACAGAATGGCCTTTAAACAGCACTGGGGAGGCAGAGGTGAGCAGATCTCTATGAGTTTGAAACCAGCTTGGTCTAGATAGTTCTAGGCCAGCCAGGGCTACATAAGACTTTCAGAACAAAACAACACACACACACACACACACACACACACACACACACACACACAGGGGGGGGGGAGGAGTGTGATAGGCTAGTCTATCCTTTACTTGTTAGACCTCCTGACTCAGTAGTTGACAAAACCTGAGAAGTGTTAGGAGTTCTGAAACCTCCTTTAACTTCAAAGTGGTCCTCGAACAGTGTCATTGTGCATGTTGATAAGCATAGAGGGGCGGGGAGGCAGGGATATTTGGAATGCTAAGAACAGCTCACTCTGCTAAAGTGAGGTGTGTTCTTTCACTATAGTAAGAATGCTGGGGCAGCTGGGCTCACAGCTGTCAGGAGGCTTCCAGGCCTGGCTCAGCGAGAAGCAGCCTGTGCTGGCACACAGTCTCTGCCCGCAGTGTGTGTCGGCAGAGGTGTAGCAGGACAACGACTGAGCTGGCGTAGCGGATCCTGCCTGGACTCCCAGTGATTAGGAGGCTGAGGAGGGATGGCTAGGGTTAGCGGCTAGACAGGGCAGCAGAGCGAGATTCTATGTCAGAACAGAGAAGAAAATTGGGAGATAGCGCAGTCGGTTAACTGCTTGTTGTGCAAGCTCAAGGATCAGAGTTTGGTTTCTGGAGCCCAGGCAAGAGCCAGATGTGGTAGCAGAGGCTTGTAATCCCAGCACTGGGAAGGTAGAGGGGAACAAATCCCAGGGACTTGCTGTCAGCAGCCTAGATGAATCGGCAAGTCTCACAGCTTGGGAGATGCTGTCTCTAAAAATAAAGTGCCATTCCTGAGGAATCACAAGTTCACATCTGGTCTCTGCATGCACACACATGCATGTGCATTCACACACACACACACACACACACACACAAAACTAAAACTTTTTAAATGACATTCTGCACAGTGGAAGAGCTGCATGGCGAGTGACATCATCTGAGATGCCAGAAGTTCTGGTACGTCTCTAACGTTTAATGTAAGAACGCCCATGACTAGCAATGCCCAGCACATTCCCTCAAATGCTGACCAGATCTTATTACAAACAAAGTCATGTGTTCTTGGTTCTGATGTTACAGGATTTAACTCAGCATGTGTGATATCTTGTCCTGGTCCTCTGAGATGGGATGCCATGAGTGTAATCAAGGACTCTAAATGCCAGAAGATGGTGGCACTTACCTCCATTGATCAAATGGAAAGGAGGAACAGAAAAACCAGTTCTAAGGAAAAGAACCCAAGAATTTACCCATCGTGAAGAACTGGAAACAAAGAATTTGAAGGAAAGACTTAGGAAGGCAGAGCCTAACTCGGACACATGGTACGGTCTGTGAAGGACTGGTTTTCACAAACAGGGTCCTAAGTGATTGTCAGAGACTTCCAGGCACCCAAGATCTCATGTCTAGGACCTGCTCATGATTGTCTTTAGTGGTAAACATTGACAGAGTACCCCACCCAGCCATTCAGTAAGACAGACAAACTCAGAGTTTCTCGGAGCAATGTGGGCATCCCACCCCCACAGGTCTCAGTCTGATGGCGGGACTCAGAGTTCTGTGAAACTTTGGGGGCACTATTCAGTTAGGAATGGGGAACAACTATATGACTTCCCCAGGTCTTCTAAATTCCCTGGTCAGTGCTGAGCCAGGCAGGCCTGTCCAAAGATGGGTTCTTAGATCTTAGCAAATCTCCAAAGTAGTCGGTACTATCAATATATAGAAATCTTCTCTGTTCCTCTAATATACCTACCATATTATGACGTAATGAGTGACTTTCCAGTTGACAATATAGTCTCACCTCACTTATGCAATACATATGCACACATGCTGACAAGCATAAACAAATACATATTTGAATGAGAAAAGAAAGAATGTGAATGGTTGCATTATTATGAGGTTGATGTGAGAGAAAGCATTCAAAGATTTATTTGTTTATGCCTGTCAGCATGTATGCGTATGTATTGCATGTGTGTTACATGAGTGGCCATGCAGGGGTTCGGAACTTAACCTGGGTCCTCTGCAACAGTCTTAAGTGTTCTTAACTTCTGAGACGTCTGTCTAGCCCCTTTTCATTTCTTCTCCTCCTCCTTTTTGTTTTTGGGTTTTGTTGTTGTTGTTTATTTTGAGGCAGGGTCTTTCTACATAGTCCTATATAAATCAGGCTGGCCTCGAACTCACAGAGGTCCTCTTGCCTCTGCCTCTGCATCTGGAGTGCTGAATCTTTCTGAGGAGATACACATGGCAAATAAAAACTGTAAATCTTTAAAATATACCCATGATGTTTTGACATATATATCCAGAACTCAGAAGGCTGAAGCAAGAATATTTCTATGAGTTTGAGGTGAGCCTGGGCTACAAATGAGCTTAAGGTTATCCTGGACTATGTAGCAAGACCCTTATTTACCAAGACTAAGGTCTTCATGAGCATATGGGGAGATGCTAGCTGGCTCTAAGACCTGAGTGCAGATCTCCAACACCCATGTAAAAAGCTAGACACAGCTGTACACACCTAAGGTCCCAGCACTGGTGTAGGTGGAGGATTGCTGATGCATGCTGGCTGCCAGCCTGGCTCCAGGGTCACCGAGTGACCCTGTCTCAGGGAACTGAGAGTTATAGAGCAAACATCTGACTTCCCCATCTGGCCTCCACAAATATGTGCATGGATGTGCATTCACACACACACACACATATGCACACACACGCACATGCCACATATACATCATACATACATTCTTCCACACACACACACACTATATATATATATATGTATGTATGTATGTATGTATGTATGTATGTATAAGATCCAATAATCATGGAAAGGGAAGGGACCACTAATACTCAGATGAAAGTCCTTCTGTACCAAGTAACCATGAGCCACAACTTTGCACCGCCCCAAACAGTGCCATAAGTATGCAGTGTGCAACTCAGAAGCAGAAGAAATCGACATGCCATCGACACGCCAGCACATGTTAGGGATGGAGTGCTACCTCTCACAACGAGGCCAATTTTGCAGCCTGCCTACTTGTGACCTGGAACTAGAGGGAGAAGCCACAGTGAGGCTGCTGGATACCAGGTGTCTCGCTTTGGCTCCCGCGGGAAGACAGTCTGCTCTCTAGGTCTTAGGTGGTGAAACGAACCGGCAAGGACGGGAAGTGTTGGAAAGTGTGCCGGCCCTCAGCTGAGAGCTGTGAGTAAATACACCTGGTTCATGGTGACACTACATGCAAGCAGCCTGCTGGTGGTTAGAGAAGAGTCTGGCAGTAAGTCCAAAGGTGCATAAGGGTTCCTTGGAAAATGACTATTGCTTCTATGAAAACCATGCTCCAAACAACAAGTGTTGAGGAGCCTGAAACCCTATTTGGTTTTACTTGTGTTCTATAATTTTGTACTCTGATTATGTACCCTGAAGTCATATTTTGCTTTACCGCCTCTATGATTTTTCTAAGATTGTTGCCCCACCACATAAAAAATCATCTAATTTTTTTTCAAAACTCTGAGCTGAAGATTCCAAACCACAAGCAAGCGCATCAGGTGAATACGCACAGGGTCCACACTGCGGCTTACCTCCGTTTTTTGAAGTTTTTGGTAGTTCCCATTCCAGGAAATGAGCCTCCGGTCCTTCCCTCCTCCCGACACCAGCGTGCCATCTCTCAACATACAAAGTGCAAAAATGCCACCTTCGTGGGCCCCTTGAAGGGCATAGCTTATCCGATTTGTACCTAAACACACCAGGAAAAGCACCATTACCCAGGACAGAATCAAAAGGCCAGCCTCTGGCCATTGTTAGTGCCGCTTCGGCTTGTTTTAAAGGTGTTATGGTAGGTTATGGCATTATTTTAATACATTCCTAGGAAGGACCCAGATTTTTGACATCGTCCGAGCCCCAGCATATACAAACCGGGTCGCCCTGGAAATTGAGGAAAGCATAGTGTCATGGGAGCTGCGTGTCTGGGAACATGGACTCTGAGTGTGTTCTCTGGCTTCTCCCCGGTGGGCTGTTTCCTCTCTGTTCCCCACTTTGTGGAATGGGGCTACAGCTTACCCTGCAGGGCTGTCCTAAGGGCCAGATGGGCATTGTCTACGGTAGGTACCAAAACAAACAAACAAACAAAAACCTTGCCATTCTGTAATTACAATGGGAGGTCTGTCTCCCCCTTCATTCCAGACCCAAGTCTGAGACCCAGGAGGACCGGAGGGTGTGTCTTCCTGAACCTCGACACTGGTGAATGCGCACTGGACTTAACTGGCACCTCTCCTCCAAGTAGCGCTGTCGCTTTTCTGGCTGTAGGGATTCCCATCTGATCTGTGCTCAAGCATCTCATCTTTATTGGTGTTTGTAGCTCTCCAGCAACATCTGTCAGACGCTATGTGGATCAGAAAAGTTACCCACCTGTGCCCAGCTATGTTGCCACTAATAACTTCTGTGTTATAATCTGCTAATAGCTTTCCCAGCAAAGTGATTAACTCCATCCTAGTACCCTGACCTTAAAAAGCCTTTTACAGTGGCATACATGCAAAGTCAGTGACTCTTAACGTTCCCAGTTTTCTTCCATCTTGACTTCATGGTTTCACTGAAACCACACACACAAACACACCCGAGCATCTTAGAACGGAGTGGTCATCCTGGTCGTTACGCCAACAGCTCGTTTCTAATAGCATCCCCTCCAATGCTTAGCCACGACATCACCGAAACCATCAAACTGCTTGTTACCTTTCCCCCACACCAAGATGTTGCCGCTCGAATCTCCAGTAATGGTGTCACCGTTTTCAGAAAACGTCACGCAAAGGACAAACTTTGGCTTCTCTTGTTTCTGTGGAATGCAGTAAAGTATTATTTACAGAAGACATCCTTTCATGTGTGGTGGTAAAGCTAGGACCCCATCAGCCCCAGCTGGATGGTGTCAGCTTCTACTGTCACCCTGGTGGCCTTTCGGTTTTATGCTCTGTCAGGATGCATGGGCCTCCAGATTAGTCGCTCTAAGAGAAAGACATTTCTGGCAACCCTAAACAGCTGGGGAACCCTAAAGCTGCACAGTTCAAGCAGGGTGTGGTAAGCGGGGGTGTGAGGGAGGGGGGACAGAACACAGAATTTCCCCGCCACCCTTAGCAAAGCCCTGGCTCCTTATGGCCAGTTGCCCTGTCAGGAGGTCCTGACTTCTCTTCCCATTTCATTACTCAAGGCACGGGGGGCTTCCCAGCTGTACAGGGAACTCCAAGATTTGTCACTACAACAAACACTAAGGCTGAACTATCTGGACGCTCCCTTAAAACCCAGTCCCTCCCACTTGCCTTGCGGGAAGACTGAGTGAAAAGTGCAGTTTACCTCGAACAACCCTTGCTTCTTGTTAAGGGAGTTCCCTTCTAGGGTCCAAAAGTAAAGATGGGACTTCCCGCAGGTGACTATGATGTTGGTGTCCGTCGGGTGGAAATCCGCAGCAAACACAGCTTCATTCGAACACTTTGCGGAGAAAACAAAACAGAGAATCAGACGCCACGGGCCTCTTACGGCACTTGGCAAAACTGCTCGAGCGGGACCCTGGGCGCTGAAGCCCCACTGGCCTCATTTTGCATGGTTATTTTAGTCACCGCCCCTTTCCCCCTTTGTCTCCTGCCCTACGGCATGAACCGAGACTCCGCATGTCCTACGGCTGCCTTATGCTGTCCTGATTCCCCAGGAGTCCTTCAGTTTGGGATCTCGTGAGGCGGCTCTCTGGCAGCCACATCAGCACCCTGTAACCCATATTCTTACTTTCAGGACAGGCGTCCTGGTCCATTGTGGCTGGCCCTGGCTATTGCTTCTGTGTAATGATTCAGTTCTATCTATGTTCATAATCCTAGCTAGGACACTGCCTCTGGCTGCTTCTAACCTGGTACACAGGACGAACACCATACACCCCTGCTATCAACACTGGAAGAAGGGAATGCCAGGCCTGGAAACACACCTGATTAGAATACAGGTCTGCACCCCACACACGGGACAGAGAGCTTGGTAGCTAGGGCTGGCTGAGCACACCCTCCGGTAAGGTACCAAGGCTGTCTGAGCAAGCCTATTGCTATCTGAGGAAGACTGAATGCTGTTTTCCTCAGAGTCAGGTTAGCTGAGGCTGACAGATGCCAAGAGAAGAAATGAGAAGTCAGATCTGTGAACACAGGAATCCGGGGGTGCTCTTGATAGAAGAAAACCTTCAGAGAGCCACACGAATGTCCATTCAACATTCTGGGCAAAGCTGATTAGGGGCAGAGTACTGAACTCAGGGCTGCTGGCATCCCCCCCTCCTGCAGCGCTACAGACTGGCAGGATCTGAGCACACCTCAGTCATTGCCTGCTTCCAGCACAACCCACGGGAGGCAGCCCAGCACACAGTGGGCATGACAGTGAGCAAATGAGTGAATGAATTGAAATTAGGGTTGTCACTACGAAATAAGGAAGAAAAAAATTTGCAGACCCTAGAAGGCAGGATATACCCTGGCAGGCCTTCAACGGGGTCTCATGAGGGAGGAGAGACAGAAGCAAAGAGATCTGAAGGGAAGGGTTTTCCCCAGGGGTAGGGGTGGGCGGCCCTGGAGTCTGCTGGCTGTGCAGGCAGCGCCCTGTGGGACACGGCTTAGCCCCAGTGAGTGGCTTGAGCGAGACCTTCACATCGGCCAGCCTCTCTTCTTTCTGCCAGTCCCACACAGATAGTACGTGGTCATTGGAGTCGTCCACAGCACAAAGATGGCTCCCTCCATTCTGCCAGGAAAAAGTATTCATAGGAAGACCAACGTGAGAACAAAGGGAGACAAACATAATTAAAAACAATCATTTACTTCTTTTTCTTTTGTTTTTTGCTTGTTTGCTTGTTTTTCAAGACAGGGTTTCTCTGTGTAACAGTCCTAGCTGTCCTGGAATTCCCTCTGTAGACCAGGCTGGCCTCAAACTCACAGAGATCCGATACCTCTGTCTCCTGAATGTGGGACTAAAGGCGTGTACCACCACTGCTCAGCTTTTAATTTTACCTTTAATAAAGCAATCATTGAGGAGCTGGGTAAAGGGATCACTTTGAACCCCAGTACCCAAAACTGGGCTGTCATGGTATGTTCACTTGTGATGGCAACATTGGGGAGCAGAGGCAGGTGGATCCTTAGAGCTGGAGCCGAGAACCTCAGGTCCCAATGAGAGACACTGTCTCAGAAACAAGGCAAACAGCAACTGAGGAACAACAGGTGAGGCTGACTTTTGGGCTCTGCGTGTGTGTGCGCACACACAGGCTCACCCCACCATGTGCACCTGCACACATGTACCACCCCAACACACAGGAAGGTCCATTACATCACAGATGAAGACCATACACTCATTGTTTTCGGGGCCTGCTTTCCTGTCCAGGCACACGGCTGCTGCAGGATTACATGCAGAGCAAGCACTAGGGGGTAAACAAACACGAGTGTTTGACGTGACGTGTGTGTGGACAATGGAGTGTGAACATACGTCTCCAAACTGGAGTGCCTAAGTACGGCTCTGTTGGACCGGCATGCCTTGGGAGCCACGTGGCTAGAAACATTTGATAGGAAATGTGTCCCTGTACATCCTCATACTTACAGATTTCGAGAACGCGATGCAGGTGACAGCCCGGTCAAAAAAGCCTATTCCGATGACATGCAGAGTGTTGAGTGTCACAGAGTCCCAGATGCGCACATGTGGCGGCAGTTGCTGTTTGGAAGGAATAAAGTCGTCATTTGGGAATGTCAGTTAATTACTTCTCTTTACCTCAGAGCTTTACAATTAGGTTGGTAGTGACTCCAATTTTGTCACTCAAAAAGTCTTTTTCTGCATCTGAGGAGTCCTCCCAAGAATGTAACTAACACATTCCCAATGGCTTAAGAAGGCACTGGGCCCTGTGGGCAACAGGTGTTAAGAGAAGGCTTCCAAGGTTTAAACTTTGACTAGCCGGCCTCTGACAGTGGTACCAGAGGAACTGACACTCCGTTTGTATCTTTGCATCTCTCTAAATTTTAGAAATGACATTTCACCAAAGATAGCATCAAGTGCAATCGGCAGATTCGTCATCATGAAAGGGCTCCAGGCATGGGGCCCAGTGTGCAGGCAGGTGCTGGGTGTTCTTGTTCTAGTTCAGCCTTGTCTGCAAGCAGTTGAGCACCATGTGCCTTCTCTGGGTTTCCCAGCAGGTCAAAAGTCATCTCAGGGAACTGTAACTTTGTCTTGGTTCCGTAGCACAGATTCAATTCCAAAGCCAGAGATGGAAATACACCTTCACGCCACTAGAGGGTGGAATAAACAGTTTGCTTCTGATTTCAAAGAGCTCTTCCAGACGTTCCTTCTTTTTCCTTTTGAACACACGAACAACTGCTCCGTTTCTGTGAGTTTACATAAAAGTAGCCTGGCTTCTGTTATCCTACTCTCTGAAAGTGTAGAATGCCAGTGAAAAACAGCATGACATTAATGGTTAACACTTGGTATTATGAAAACACCTTCTCCGATAAGGTTGCGCTCGTGTTTTCTGGTTGGATATACATTGCTAAAAACGAAGGCCCCGCTTTAATCAATGATTACTTTTAGGTAATAGATCACTCAAGGACAAGCTGTACAAATAGAGGTTTAAGAATCTGTAGGGGATTTGAATAAAACATGACAAGCCCACATAGAAGCCAGCTTGGCAATGTCTTAGCTAGTTCCCTCACCTCCCTCCTTAAAATCCAGACTGAAGTCTTGTAACACACTGCAGAGTTCGCCTGAGGTTCCCGGCAGCTTTTGTGATGGACAGAAGGAGCAAACTCCACACTGAAGAAATAAGTGGTGGGTACTCACAGCCGAGGACTTCCCATGACATGCTACTTTGTGGTTTTAACTCTGCTTATTAGATTGTTATATTCGTGCTGATCACATATGCAGATAAGAATGTCAAGAGTTGATTCTTGGGCAGGACAATGCTGTTTTAAATAGCTAGTGTTTGTTCTCTCCCTCCCTCAATCTCTCTCTCTCTCTGTCTCCCTCTTCCATTTTTCTTTGTTTTTTTTTTTTTTTTTTGAGACAGGGTTTCTCTGGGTAACTTCCCTGGGTATCCTGGAACTCGCTCTGTAGGCAAGGCTGGCCTCAAACTCACAGAGATCTGCCTGTCTCTGCTTCCTGAGTGCTGGGATTAAAAAGGTGTGTGCTACCACCTCCCAGCTTCTATATTTTTTTAAAGACAGTGTTTTGCTATGTAGACCAGGCTGGCCTTGAGCTCCCATACATCTGCCTGCCTCTGTCTCCTGAGCACTGGGATTAAAGGTATGCACCACCACAACTAGCGATAATGTCATTTAAAATTTTGTTGAAATTATGGTGAGCTCAGGGGTAGGGAGCGTAAGGTCATGGTGACACATGCAATTTGCATGAGGAGGACTCAGAAGTTCCCAGGTGTGGTAACTACATGCGGCCAGGTAGATCCATCAGCAAAAGTGCTTTCAGGAGGTTGTGCCAGCTCCTTACAAAAAACCAGCATGACAACGAACAAAACTCACCTTTCCATCTTTAGACGTGCCTGCAACTTGTCCTGTTGCTATGGTGATCCTGTCAGGATGGACTGCTAGGCTAAAACAAGGATATTTATCAGACACCTCCACCACAAAGTTGATTAACTACAATCTTCCAAAAGTTTAAACAGAAGAATCCACACTGATTAGCTTCTTACAGACGCTCCCAAATTCCCAGAAGAGCCCAACAACTTAGACAGCAAATGCTGCTTCCTTTATCTGAATCCCCTTATTTCTTCTTGGGAACTTCCAGGCTTAAGGAAAGGCAACCTTTGTTGGGAAAACAGCACTTCAGTCTCAGAACCACTGACTTAGCCCACACCTTCCCTTCTTACCCATGCTTTCTGGGTGTCTTAATTAGGGAAGGTCCCTTAATTTCCGCCAGTACGATTTTTGTCACTAGCCATGGACCCAGGATGACCACAAATCCATCTCCCGCTCCCATTACTCCAAGGTCTTCCCTAAGCTACGAAATGAGCCGTAGGCATATCAGACTAAGCTATACACACACACACACACACACACACACACACACACACACACACACACACACAAGCACGTTTACCTTTATCTAAAAGTAAAGACCCAATCTGAAGTTTTTACATTTGGTACGTTAAGAAAGCTTCCTGGGGCACTTTTTTTCCTCCTTAGATAATCTGGTCACGAAGAAGTGCAGTGAGGACAGACAGCCGCACGGACCTGGCAGCAGAGCCAGGGAACCCAAGGGCGGCGTGGAGAACACAAAGAAGAGCTTTGCCCAGTCTGGCCTCAGAGCCCAGCTCCCCCCCCACACCCCGGTTTGAGCTCACCTATGCTGACCTCTTTCAGCGAAGGCTAGCTCACCTATGCTGACCTCTTTCAGCGAGCTCACCTATGCTGACCTCTTTCAGCGAGCTCACCTATGCTGCCACAGCCTGTTCCTGAGGACTCACCACTTGACGTCGTCATTGTGGCCGGCATAATGCCTCTGCAGCTGCTCCTCCACGTTGTAGAGCACCACCACAGACGCGATGAAGTACACGGTCTCCCCCGTCGGCAGCAAGTACAGGTTATTGCGACAGTCTCGCCCCCGGTACCCGTAGCTTAGCGTCAGTCAAGATGAAAACCGTTTGCCTTTAAGAGCTGGTAAGCTGCCGCTCTACTCAAGAGGCACATGAATGTTGTGCAACTATTCCTATCAGTTTCACGAATCTAAACAACATTGAGCAGAAAACGTGTGCAGGGGTGGTGGTGCCCGCTTTCAATACTCTGTGAGTTCTAGACTGGCGGGGCTGCACAGTGAGACCCTGTCTCAAACAAAACAAAATGAAATACACTCTGTACCTAGCAGACCTTAATACCAATACTCCTGAAACAAAGTTATAATATGAACACATCGTCTTGCAGTATTGGGTGTTGAACCCAGGACCTTTCCTGTGCTAGGCAAGTGATCATTGTATAGACCAGGCTAGCTTCAACTCAGATCTTCCTGCCTTAGCCTCCCTTGTCTGGGATTATAGACATGTCTGGTGTGAATGCATACTTTTTACAGCATGAAGATTTGTTTGAGTTTTAGAAGCTATTGAGTCTATTATAAGCCTGCTTTTACTGTCTATAATCTAGGAACTAAATCTTTTCATTAAAAACCACTTAAAAGTATCATATAAGTACTTACAAAGAGTATAAATAACATTCAAATGTAATAAAGGTTTAAAATTAAGTCTTAATTGTTAAATTAGTGAATTAATTAACCTTGCTCCATCATTTTAGGGATAACTATCAGTGTTTTTTCAATGTATTGCATTTTGTGTGTGTGTGTGTGTGTGTGTGAGAGAGAGAGAGAGAGAGAGAGAGAGAGAGAGAGAGAGAGAGAGAGAGAGAGAGAGAGAGAGAGCACATGTGCATGGTTGCTATAGTGTGTATGTGGAGGTCAGGGGACAACTTGCAGGAGTTGGTTTTCTCCTTCCACCATCCATATGGGTCCAGGGGCTTGAACTTGGGTCCTCAGGCTTGGCTGCAAGCGCCTTTATCCACAGAGCCTCTCACTGACCCAGTGTTAAAATTTTACCATGTGTACTTCTAAAAACAAAGCATCATTTGAACTTGAGTGTAAAAAATAACCTGGCCAAAATGCCATTTGTTTGGAGCAAATTTTTTGGTTTCATATCTTTTAAAACACAAACAAGGAAGCATTCTCTGAATAACACTTCCTGGGTTAGATTAAATAAACTGCTCAACTTGATTAAGAGGAAGATCCCACCCACGAAATGCACCAAAATAGATTGCCAAGCAACATCTAATTTTTTGATTTCCACAAATGTGATTTCATAACTCAAATACTAATTTCTAGTCAATGAAGGCAGGTCAGCATCAGCTTAAATCAACATCTTGGGATCTATCTTTAGAGGGTGACATTAGCCACCGAGTGGCAGACATCACGATATATTTAGTGTAAAGCCTTCGTAGGGGGAGAGTGGGTGCTGCAGCCTTCCCCACAGTGAAAGTGACTATAGTGCATTGAACAGCAGAAACACAGCACCCGCTCTTGTGGGGGGTGGTAGCGCATGCCCACATCCCCAACATTCAGGAGGCTGAGGCAGAAGGATTGTTGTGAGTTAAAGGCTAGGCTACAGAGCAAGACCCTGTCTCAAAAGGAAACAAAAGGTCCCATCATGATCATTAGTCCTAAATTTTGCTCACTTTAATTATTTTCACTCAGCTTGCTTCTCAGTGTCTGTCTAACCTACTGTTCTTTTAGGCTGACAGGCAGGTCACAAATGCGATCTATCCCTCTGATCCCCAAAACATTCGTCTACAATGATCAACTCCATGGTTTTTTTTTGTTTTTGTTTGTTTGTTTGTTTGTTTTTACAAGACAGGGTTTCTCTGTATTGTTTTGGAGGCTGTCGTCCAGCCCGGCCTCGAACTCACAGAGATCCGCCTGCCTCTGCCTCCCGAGTGCTGGGATTAAAGGCATGCGCCACCACCACCTGGCCCATGTTTTCTTTTCAGGAAGACAGCGGGTATGCAGAAGACAGTGTGTATGCAGAAGACAGCGGGTATGCAGAAGACAGCGGGTATGCAGAAGACAGTGTGTATGCAGAAGACAGCGGGTATGCAGGAGACAGCGGGTATGGGGGAAGACAGCGGGTATGCAGAAGACAGCAGGTATGCAGGAGACAGCGGGTATGCAGAAGACAGCGGGTATGCAGGAGACAGCGGGTATGGGGGAAGACAGCGGGTATGCAGAAGACAGTGGGTATGCAGAAGACAGCGGGTATGCAGAAGACAGCAGGTATGCAGGAGACAGCGGGTATGCAGAAGACAGCGGGTATGCAGAAGACAGTGTGTATGCAGAAGACAGCGGGTATGCAGAAGACAGTGGGTATGCAGGAGACAGCGGGTATGCAGGAGACAGCGGGTATGCAGAAAGACAGTGGGCATGCATTTGAACAGGAACCACAACCATGAGAACTTGCTCAGGAATGCTTCTCCTACATGGCCACATTTGAAAACTCAATTTAAAAAAATGTTAACAGTAAAATGTTTAACCTTTATGGATCTTTCAAGTAGACCTTCAGCAGTCACCTACCGACAATCTGGTCAGAGCATAAAGGATACACCCACTCCAGCTTCAGCCGCTTGGTCGGTAACTCAGCTTTTGCTTCTAAACTGTAAGAATCCACTTGGTCTTTGGGCATGTACATGGTGACGGGGCGGCCTCGAAGAAACATTTTTACATATCCCTCTTCTACAAAAACAATGGAGATGTCAGTGATACCACGCCATACCCTGATAGCAAATGCCACACACTGACTAGCCTGTCAGCACGCAAGTGGCAATTTCCCTTGTGGACCTTAAAAGATTTTTATAAAAAACAATTTACTTATTTAATGTGTTGGTGGGGGTAGGGTGAAGCCACATGGCACGCGTGAAGGTCAAAGAGCAACTTTTGGGAGTCTGTTCTCTCCTCCCATCGTCTCCTTCCATCTCATGAGACTCAGAGAATTGGGTTGTCAGGCGGGCTTTGGTAAGCAGCTTGACCTGCTGAGCCATCTCACTGGTCCCAGCATCCCCATCTCACTGACCCCATCATCCTCATCTCACTGACCCCATCATCCTCATCTCACTGACCCCATCATCCCCATCTCACTGACCCCATCATCCCTATCTCACTGGTCCATTCTTCCCCATCTCACTGACCCCATCATCTCCATCTCACTGACCCCATCATCCCTATCTCACTGGTCCATTCTTCCCCATCTCACTGACCCCATCATCCCCATCTCACTGGTCCCATCATCCCCATCTCACTGGCTCCATCATCCCCATCTCACTGGCTCCATCATCCCCATCTCACTGACCCCATCATCCCTATCTCACTGGTCCATTCTTCCCCATCTCACTGACCCCATCATCCCCATCTCACTGGTCCCATCATCCCCATCTCACTGGCTCCATCATCCCCATCTCACTGGCTCCATCATCCCCATCTCACTGACCCCATCATCCCTATCTCACTGGTCCATTCTTCCCCATCTCACTGACCCCATCATCCCCATCTCACTGGTCCCATCATCCCCATCTCACTGGCTCCATCATCCCCATCTCACTGGCTCCATCATCCCCATCTCACTGACCCCATCATCCCTATCTCACTGGTCCATTCTTCCCCATCTCACTGACCCCATCATCCCCATCTCACTGGCTCCATCATCCCCATCTCACTGGCTCCATCATCCCCATCTCACTGACCCCATCATCCCTATCTCACTGGTCCATTCTTCCCCATCTCACTGACCCCATCATCCCCATCTCACTGGTCCCATCATCCCCATCTCACTGGCTCCATCATCCCCATCTCACTGGCTCCATCATCCCCATCTCACTGACCCCATCATCCCCATCTCACTGGTCCATTCTTCCCCATCTCACTGACCCCATCATCCTCATCTCACTGACCCCATTATCTCCATCTCACTGGTCCATTCTTCCCCATCTCACTGACCCCATCATCCCCATCTCACTGACCCCATCATCCCCATCTCACTGGCTCCATCATCCCCATCTCACTGGATCCATCATCCCCATCTCACTGGCTCCATCATCCCCATCTCACTCACCCCATCATCCCCATCTCACTGGTCCATTCTTCCCCATCTCACTGATCCCATCTTCCCCATCTCACTGACCCCATCATCCCCATCTCACTGGCTCCATCATCCCCATCTCACTGGCTCCATCATCCCCATCTCACTGGCTCCATCATCCCCATCTCACTGACCCCATCATCCCTATCTCACTGGTCCATTCTTCCCCATCTCACTGACCCCATCATCCCCATCTCACTGGTCCCATCATCCCCATCTCACTGGCTCCATCATCCCCATCTCACTGGCTCCATCATCCCCATCTCACTGACCCCATCATCCCCATCTCACTGGTCCATTCTTCCCCATCTCACTGACCCCATCATCCTCATCTCACTGACCCCATTATCTCCATCTCACTGGTCCATTCTTCCCCATCTCACTGACCCCATCATCCCCATCTCACTGACCCCATCATCCCCATCTCACTGGTCCCATCATCCCCATCTCACTGGCTCCATCATCCCCATCTCACTGGATCCATCATCCCCATCTCACTGGCTCCATCATCCCCATCTCACTCACCCCATCATCCCCATCTCACTGGTCCATTCTTCCCCATCTCACTGATCCCATCTTCCCCATCTCACTGACCCCATCATCCCCATCTCACTGGCTCCATCATCCCCATCTCACTGGCTCCATCATCCCCATCTCAATGGCTCCATCATCCCCATCTCACTGGCTCCATCATCCCCATCTCACTGACCCCATCATCCCCATCTCACTGGTCCATTCTTCCCCATCTCACTGATCCCATCTTCCCCATCTCACTGACCCCATCATCCCCATCTCACTGGCTCCATCATCCCCACCTCACTGGCTCCATCATCCCCATCTCCAGCCCCCTCCCATGCCATGTCCCTTTCAATTATTGTTCCATAGGAAATAAAACCTAACACACAGGGGTTGGAAAGATGGCTTAGTGTTTAAGAGCACTACACACTGCTCTTCCAGAGGACCCTAGTTAGGTTCCAGCATCCACATCAGATAGCTCACAGTACTCCAAGGGATCTACCTGCTGCACTCTTCTGGCCTCCTTGAGTACTTGCATACACATGTACATACCTCAACACAGAGACACATACACATGCAAATAAAAATTAAAACCTAACACAAAATTAAATAACTTGAAACAAAAGTTCATGACATTTCTTTTGGGCTTCTCATTCAAGTTCACACCATACATAAGAATTTGTTATAAGTATGAACTAGATTTAACAAGCATTTACTGGGGCATCTTGGTGCAGCTATGTTATCATACAAAGAAAATGTACAGTTAAGAATCACAACTGGGGCTGGAGAGATGGCTCAGAGGTTAACAGCACTGACTGCTCTTCCAGAGGACCTGAGTTCAATTCTCAGCAACCACATGGTGGCTCACAACCATCTGTAATGAGATCTCTTCTGGTGTCCAATCATATATGCAGGCAGAACACTGTATATATAATAAAGATCTGTTAAAAAAAAAAAGAATCACAACTAACTCAAGAAACCCACTCGAGTCTGTTACTGAGTCCAACATATATACAGTCTCAGTACCAAACCAGGAAATATCTTTTGATATTTAAATTGATTTTTTATATTAGAGTGTAAAATATAATTCCATTTTTACATTGTACGTTCTTTCAAATGCAAAGAATACTAAGTGCATGCAAGGATTTAATAAAAGAGAAAATGCTAAATAAAAATATTTGAGACAGGGTTTCTCTGTGGCTTTGGAGGCTGTCCTGGAACTTGCTCTGAAGACCAGGCTGGCCACAAACTCAGAGATCTGCCTGCCTCTGCCTTCTGAGTGCTGGGATTAAAGGTGTGTGCCACCACTATTTAGCTAAGTAAATAAATCTTAAAAGCAAAGTTTTAAAATTTAAAAAATGCTTAAATAGAAGGTAGAAATGGAAAATAAAAAGGGAAGACCCAACAGAGAAGGAGTGAGGGGAGAGGGAGGGGAGGAGGGAGAGAGAAGGAGAGTGGTGGGGGGACCAAAGAGGGGAGAGAGTTTTCTAGAATGACTATTTCTATTAAAATAACTTTGTTTTAATTGGGAGATTTGGTATTTTTATGTATATAAATATATACACCATGTGTATTCCTGGTGTCTGCAGAGGCCAGAAGAGAGCACCAGATACTCTGGGACTGGAGTTACAGGCAGCTGTCAGTCATCATGTGGGTGCTGGGAACTGAATCTGGGTCCTCTGCAAAAGCAAGGGCTCTTACTGCTGAACCATCTCTCTAGGCCCCTAAAACAACTTTTGGTATTCTAAGAAATCGAAGGGCCAAAGTTTAAAAAAAAAGCAAACAAATCAAACCCACATTGGGTACTCTAGAGTTTCAAGGCTATACTATGAGCAAAGAAAACATGTCATGGACCCCTGATGAGTTCGCAGTCAGACCCTCCTTTCTGATGCTCCTGAAGACTGCAGAATCCAGAATCAACAGAATCTAAAGCAGACAGGGGCTACAGCAATACTCGCTCCAAAGCCCACAGAAAGTCACCTCAGGGAGGATACTGACGAGGGTAAGTTGAGAGACAGTCACAGTACTTCAGCGGCTAAGGACTTTCAAACAAGGCCGCATGCAACACCATTTGTCACCAAGGGCATGCAATTCAGATCCCAGTGCATGTGACACTCTCCATTCTGGGTTTAATGAAGCTTGGCTTTTAGGTAAGAACCATGAATGTGCTCATCCCCACGGCACACACTGCCCCAGTGATGGTTGGGATGTTTTCCACGTGGGCACCACCTTCCCTGGCTGCATCTGAAGAAGTCCACCCAAGACTGCCATCGCTGTCCTACTCCCTGGAGTCACCTTACATACTGTCGCCAATCCGTTGAGCCCGGGCTACACTTCATCTGATGCTGCATCCGTGCATCACGGCCACTGCCTACTTGCTCAACGGCTGTCTTTATCTGACCTCATCTTCTCCTCTCAGGCCAGAAGCATCTCTCAGTACCTCCCCGTCTTCCCTCTGAGGCCCAGCTCCAGCTCCTTCCTTCCCTTCTCTTCTGAACCTCTTCCCTCCTCTAACCTCTCAGCCAAGTTGCTGCTCTTCCGTTGGTGTTCACAAATGGAGACTTAAAAGGCAGCCACCAGCCCCACCTTAGAGGAAGGGGAAGCAGGAATGGCGGCGTGCACCGGCCCTGCCAGGGTGGTGGGACTACTGCCCATATAATGGTGTTTCCAAAAGACAGGGGGACAGAGAGCCAATTGTGGGCGCAGACAGGGCACAGTCTATTGGGCCGTGTAGTGAAGTTAGGTGGTTAGCCTCGGTGAAGAATGCCTGTGACTGAGGCTGTCTTACCTCACCACTAAACAGGACTTACTAGGTTCTGCTGTGCGCCATTGTGTACTACAGACTCAGGTGGCCCACACCTACAGCCCTCACGGCACGGGGAAGCAATGCTGTTTTCAGGCATGTTAGCAGAACAAAACACAATCACCAAACCCAGAGGTGCTAGTGGGGAGAGGTCAGCGGTGCAGTTTCATGCCAAAATGTGGACACTCGGGGGCGGGGGGGGGGCTGCCTTCTAGCTCCTTTCAGATCCGTTCAGACCTCCCACAGGCAGCCAATGACGAACGGCAATCCAAGTCACAGTCGCGTGCTGAAGCCCATCCAAGTGAACATTCAGAGGTGCGTTGGGTTTAGGGCAAATTACGGAAACGCTGTCATGCGAGGAGGGCTCTGCCTGCTTGAGACAGTCTCTGGACTGGGCAGCGGCCTCGTGCAGAGGGCGAGCTGTGGGCTAGGAAGCTCTGCCTACCTTTGCAGTGTGTCACCCGGCGCTTCCCTTGGGGTTTCGGAGACTGAAGGGCTAGATAAAGAGATGGCTGGTACCGCAGGTGTGGCTGGCCTGTCTGCTGGGGCACTCACTGGCCAGCCGCAGGCTGGTACTACCCTGCCCCCCAGGGGACAAGGGGACATTTCATGTATCCTGACATGTATGCTCGGGGTGCACACCTGTGGGTTGATGGTAACTGCATTTTCAGGGATTAATCTTTATTTTGCTTGGAAGGGGGAAAGCCTGGGAAAATTAAAATCAGGTGAATTTATTTAACTACACACTTTTTTTGCGTGTTTAACTATATCTCAAATAAGCTAAAAAAGAGAACGTAGCATCCGCTTTCTTATAAAGTGTGATTTAGAGGGATATATGGACAGCTATCTACAAAGTATTGGTTTGCAATTTAGGAAATGGGAGGCAGAGAGGGAGCGGGTATTTTGAACAGCTTTATGGGGGAGGCTTTCCCTTGGGGAGAAGTGCAGGAGAGGTCAGCGGAGCAGGGCGGAGAAGGGCATCTTCACGGAGCTCACACTCTAACCGTTGCTGACCTCCACGTGGGTCTGACAAGGGGTGGGAAGGGGTCTAGTCTCTATACCCGTTTACTGGCAATCCTGCGGTTAGCTGAGCTGCCAGCAGCTGCTTGGTTGTGCTAATAAACACCAGAGCTGTTTCCTGAGTACCTGAGGCCTGGCTCTGAGGCCACCATTTTCTATTTGACACTCAGTCAAGGTCTACATTTTAGCCCTCCCCCCATCCAAGAATGAAACCAGAACTTACCTGGACTGAATGTAGGCTCCTTGGGTTTGCTGTGAAAATAAACAAAAAAAAAATTAGTATGTGTGTGTGTGTGTGTGAAAATTAAGTGAATGAGATTGTAATCAGGTTTTTTTAAATCAAAGAGAGCAGATATAGGATAGGGACAGCTGACTAGTCAGGGTGAAAGTGTAAGGTTAACACATGCCTGTCCTCTCTCAGACATAAGGAACTTGTGTAAAAATAAGCAGTCCTATTTCCTGCCAAAGAGATGCCTGTGCATTCATGATTATGGCTGCACGATTGACAACAGCAAGGGATAGAACCAGCCAGATGTCCACCCACAGAGGGATGGAACCAGCCAGATGTCCACCAACAGAAGAATAAAAATGTGGTACAGGACACGACGAACTTTTATGCAGCTGCAAAGAAAAGTTACATTTACAGAAAATAGCTGGATCTGGAATTTATTATCTTAACTGAGATAACCCAGACTCAGAAAGAGAAATATCACACACTGTTCTAGTTAGGGTTACTATTGATGTGACAAGACACCATGACAAAAGCTACGTGGGGAGGAAGGGGTTATTTCAGCTCACACTTCCAGGTAACAATCCACGACTGAGGAAAGTCAGGACAGGAACTCAAACAGGGCAGAACCTGGAGCTGATGCAGAGGCCACGGAGGGGAGCTGCTCACTGGCTTGCTCCTCATGGCTTGCTCTGCCTGCTTTCTTATAGAACCCAGGGTCACCAGCCCCGGGATGGCACCGCCTACAATGCACTGGTCCCTCCCCATCAGTCACTAATTAAGAAAATGCCCTACAGGCTTGCCTACAGACTGATCTTATAGAGACATTTTCTAATTGAAGTTCCCTCCTCTCTGATGATTTGAGCTTGTGTCAAGTTGACCCGGAGTTAGCCAGCACGCGTGCAAGTCCTCTCATTTAAAAGGGGATCATAGAGGGGAGGAGGGGCTGGGAGGGGCTGAGGGAGGGCAATAAAACATGCGCAACTTGAAAGTGGAAAGGGGGCTATGGGAAGTCGGGGATGCATGGGGGGCAGGGCAAAGGGGGAGGAGAAGAGGGAAAAACGAATAAAACAGATTTTAGGTAGGCTGGAGAGTTAGCAGTTACAAGCACTGTCTGTTCTTTCAGAAGACCCAGGTTCAATTCCCAGCGTCAATACGGCAAGTCAAACAAACCATGTGTGACCCCAGTTCCACAGGACCCAACACCTCTTTCTCAGTTGAGGTTCCCTCTTCCCAAGTGACTCTCGCTTGTGTCAAGATGACATAAAACTAATTGGCACATCAGCTTGCATGGTAGACACCCTGCTAACTGAGCCACCTCCCCTGAGATCCTAAGGTTACCCTTTTCGGTCCTAATTTGAAATGCAATGAAAAACACCTTGACCGGAAGTCACCCTTTAGCCCATGCTGCACCACTGGTATTGCCCATCACCACCCTTGATTTCCAGGCCACCGCTCGCAAGGTGGTTCAAGCCTCAGACACAAGCAAAAGAATTTGCTGTTGGTGAACCCTGAACTGTGGTCACCAAAAGCAGGGCTGTAATAGCCCTGTTTGGCCTTTCCATCTAAAAGCCTGGGTTTCCCTTGGGGCTCTAGGGCCCCAGGCAAGCCATTTGTGACCACTTGGCTAAGGGACTCTGGCCTGTCTCCAGCCTGTAGCTGCTGTTCTGCGGCCTGGCCTGATGCACCCCAGTTCGCAGCATGCTCCCCGTCCCTCCTCCTGAACACCAGCCTGCAGGATGACACACGGCTGCTGCTCGGGGAGGTACTTGTGGCCACTTCCTGTGGAGGCTTCTTGGATGTCCAGCCAAGGCTGCAGTCTTCCCTCAGGCCCCGCCCCCACACTCCCCACTCCTGCCCCATGCTCATTCTGTCCACAGCACCTTTACCCTGCATTCTATTTTGCTTTTTCCACTGGCAGAACGGCCCATGAATGCAGGATCTCCATCCTGCTCACCATTGCATTTCCAGGGCAGAACGAGGGCCACCGGTGCCTGGCACTCGGGGCGGGGCCTAGGCGTATCTTCTCTCAGGTTTTCCCACTCAGACCTCACACCACAGCTGGCCCGGTGTGCCTCAGGAAGCATCCCCACCCACATTCCACTCTGGTCTGTTCTGAGCACTCCCTGCAGGTCAGAGGACAGGAATGTGTGAGAGTGTCCGGGTTGCCCTTGTCTTTCTTGACATGCAGCATGGGCCTGTCCCCTGAGAGGGACCTGCACTTTTTTGTTTGCTTGTTTTTGTTTTGTTTTGTTTTGTTTTAAGTCCAGCATACCACTTAGAATAGCTGTTTATTCCGACTTAGAATAGCTGTTTTTCCGACTTAGAATAGCTGTTTTTCCGTGGCTCACCGAGCTTGTCCCTGCTTTCAGTGCATGAGTGACAGTCTTGTGATCTGTCCAGAGTCCTGATTCCCTGTCATTTATGCGTTGGGCTCACAGGCAAGGGTGAGGACAGGAGAGGGAGGCTAAGGATAAAAGACGGCAAGGCAAAACCCTTGGGTTATAGAAACAGGATCAAGGGAGCCAGATAGGAAATCAAAAGGCAGGAAAAGAATTCTTCTCACCATGGTGTTGGTAAAAAGATGCAAAACCCCTGAACACTGACATCAGTGATCTTGGGTAGTTTCCAGAAATAGGAAAATGCAGCCATGGGAGCTGGGGAGCTGACTCCCTCAGCAAAGTGCTTGGTGCACAAGGCTGAGGACCGGGGTTCAGGTCTCCAGCACCCACACAGAGAGGCTGGTGCCGGTGGGGAGGGGCCCGAGGGAATAGCCAGCACAGCCAATCAGTGAACTGCAGGTTCAGGGAGAGACCCCCGTCTCAAAACAAGGTGGGGAGCGATCGAGGAGGACACCTGACATTAACCTCTGGTTTGCACACATGTACATACAGGTGAGTACACACACAGGCACACACACACACACTACACACACTACACACACTACACACACATACACACATGTACATAGGGAATGGTCCACAAAAGAGAGAAAGTCCACAGGGGAATTTGAACCTCAAGTCTCCAGGACTCTGAGAGGAGGAAATAGCTTCTAGGAGCAGTGACGCAACGTGGGCACCAAAGCCAAAGGCCATGGAAGAGGCGTCAGGGGGCACTGGCGTGTCTCATCATCAAAGCTAGGCAGCGCATGGGGGGCACAGTCAGAACCCCCTCGGTAAGCTTTGCTCCTTCATCCACAAAACTGACAGAACCACCTCAGCCTGAGTGAGACAGGACACAGTGCCAGCCCCCTGGTGCTAATTAATTCTCACCTAGCCAACTTCACACACAAGAATCCACCCTAGCTCTATCTCTGGAGCCCTCTGCTGACAGTCAAAAAACCAAAAACCAACCAACCAAACAAAAACAACTAAGGGAAGCCAGCACCGATTATTTTAAACCTTGTTAAGAAGTAAATGGCTCCAGGGCTTGAAGAGTGAAATGATCCTATAAAGGACCAAAACGCAAAACACAACTCTAAAGCTAAGCCTGGTGTCGATGGTCAACCCCTAGATGGCGCTCTTTACCAGTTTCTTAAATGAGTCCGGGTTTTTATGTAATTTCATTCATTCTAGGACCTCGTACTGGGCAGTTTTCGTGTTCCCTGCACTTTGCAAAGCGCTGCAGGGTCAGAGACTGAGAAAGGACAATCTCTGCCCTTCTAGAGACCAAGGGAGGTCACGGGAGGGAGTGGAGGGGCACAGAGGAGGGTAGCAGACACTCAGCCACAGACACAGGCTTTCTGCAAAATACCTACCTCGGATGGGGGCTACAGAAAGGGCTCTTCAGCTGAGCCTTGCAGGGTGAGCTGGAGTCTGTCCAAACGCTGTCACACCCTTCTCCACACTCCACAGCACCAGAGGGAAGACCACAGCACAAGTAGGTGTTGGGGGACATCTCAGGGTGAGTCATGAGATGGGTAAGCCACCTTCTTCCACACTTTAAGGTGGCCTGAGCACATTTTATCCATTCGAGGCTGCGTCTTTCTCGGTGAACTGTCTAGCTAACCCTTTTCCTACTTCCCCCACTGGTTTGTGTTGTCTTTACTGAAACCGAGAGACCAACCCCAGTCGGTGACCGTGCCTTGTCTGCATCCTGTCTGGCTGAATCTCTTCACGCAGCCCGTTCCATTCCTCATCCTGCCTTGCACCATGCCACGCACATAGTAGGTCCAGGTGAAGCAGTGCTGTGAGACCGCATGAGTAAAGCGACAGGCATTGTCCAAGTTCCTGATTCCCTGCCTTTCAGGTTGGGGATAAAAGGCACAGAGTTCCAAAACGTCTGCATGATGGTTAGAGTTGCCAGCGGGACATGGCCCAGCGACACCTGGGAAGAGCATCTCCTTGAGGAGTTGTCCGGAGTGGGTTAGCTTGTGAGAAATTGTCTTAACAGGGTTAATTGGGGGTGGGTGAGAGCCTACCCCACCCTGAATATGAGCAGCACCATTTGTGGGGCTGTGTAAACGTGGGGAGGGGCTTGAGAGAAAGCCAGCAAGCATGCCTGGGCTCGTTCTCCGCTCTTTAAACACTAACGTGTGTGGGTGTGGGTGTATTGCTTGCACGTGTGCCCACACACCACACGTATGTCTGGTGCCCACAGAAGCCAGGAGAGCGTGTGGATCCCCTGGAAATGCAGGTAAATAAAGTTGTGACCTCCCCGCCCAACAAGGGTGCCGGGAACTGAACCCATGTCCACCCTACTTTCTCTGCTCTTGACTACGGACGGACAGATGTGATCTGTTTCACTTCCTCGAGCCCCTGCCACGGTGACGCACCCAGTGTGACAGACCCTAACCTGGAACCTCCACGAGCTGAAACAGTTGATTTTTACCACAGCAATGGAAACAAAAAGGTCCCCAAGAAGAAAGGCTGGGGAGGATTGTGAAGCACGAGCAAACATGGACCCTGCTGCCTTGGGATAGAGCAGCAGTGATCGTGGCAGCTGCAGGCACCCCGGCGTGGAGGAAGCTGGGGAGACCTTATTCAGTCCTCATGACATCTGTGAGGTAGAGACTATTTCCATG